TGATTGTAGTGGATCTTTAAACAGTCGTGTTGTAAAGTACATCTGTATTATGTAAGTAGGCTTTACGGTGAGCCTGAACCTCCTCAAAGACTCTTGCTGGAGGATATTAGCAATCTGAGAGCTGCCGTGCAACATAGTTTTAGTGCTCATATATTACAAAGGTGTAATAATGAAGTCCCCTTCCATTGCCATGTCTTCAACTTCTTATCTCAGGAGAAAGGACATGATTTCAGGCATAAACCAGGGAAATTGTATGAATGGTGTGACTTCCCATTTTACTTTGATCAGAGCCATAGGCGGTTACAGGGGTTGGCATTAAGGAGCAATGCCCACCCTGAAGTTTTGACAGGAAAAGGAAGTCATCATAATCATTAAAATTAATTATTATTGTTATTTAAATTAACTTTTCATGAATATTTTGAATGTTAATTTTGTAATCAACTAATCATTTCTTGCAATGGCAACCAAGCGTCAAGCATCTCTCCTTTCTTTGTTGCCTCCTAAACAAAATAAAGAAATACCAATAATGATGACCTTATTGAAAGAAGTAAGGTTAATAGCTAACATGTATAGATCTATAAATAAGCAAGTACTGCTTGTCATAAATCATCAGTTGTGTTAATGGCAGCTGCACACAAAATTTACTACCTGAAATTTCTATACATGAGCCAGATCTAGTGTCAGTTGATTTCACAGAGTTAGAGACTAATGATATGATGTTCCTTGTGATACTTCTACTTCTAGTGATGCTGAGTCTGATTAGTCTCGCTAGCCAGACCATTCCCCAGCCTACAGTCAGTGGCATGGACGGCAATGACTTTAGGCTGGGGAATGGTCTGGCTAGCGAGACTAAAGTCTCATAGTCAATCACAAAGTCACACTCATGGCACTTGCACAGATCATAGAAAAATTAAATTTTGTGAGGCCCCTAATCATAAATATTATACGTAGATGGATTGGAAACAGGGCAAGACCAGATGGTCACTTGCTCATTTCGCAGGAAGTGACATCATTACGCGCGTGGAAAAATGTGATAGTATTACTTGAAGGCTGAAGCTTTAAGCAAGTACCTTTAAGACTGTTCTGGAAATATTCTCAACATGAGAATTTTAATTTAAACTCCAAATGTGAAGGAAACAAAGGAGAGGAAATATAAAAGAGAGAAAATATACATACCAATAATATTTGAAATTTAATTTCATTAAAAATAACTATGTATTATTAATATCACTGAGGTATTGTTGATGACTTTGTAGAATTCCTTGATGACATGCCACAAACAAGTAGATTCAATTATTAATGATGATTACAGTCTGCTGATGGCTCATGCTCCTGGTTTTCTCAATATGGTAGACAGTGCGGTATTTTGTTTCTACCATTAAACCATATAACAGATGAAATTGATCCTAGTATGACATAAATCAATACAAAATGCTTTTTAGTAGATGATCAACTTAAGAGTTACTTCAATTGGCAGTAAAACACCACCTTCAATAATTTTTAACCTCCTATCTCCTTCCAATTCACTTCATAATTTCTCCTATTTGAAGACATTTATTGAACAAAGTGACATCACTAGTACACAAGTACATTCTTAAACATTATGCCTGAATCAAGAAATATCCATCTTATACACTCGTTAGGCCTAAAATGTGCCCACCATGGGGTACACGTCACAAACATTAATAAGCTAAGAACTTTAAAACCCTTCCTTATTTAATCAAAATGCCAAGTTTAGTACATGCGGACTCATACAGATCACATTTTTTCAAAAATTCTAAGTAATTCTATCATTAGTTTTTAAGAAAATGTGCCCACAAGGTGTTACAAGACATATATTTGCATGTTTGTGAGTAATGTGGGAGATGATAGCACGCAATTCATATACTTAGCTTTTTAATACAATACTAGTTAACTGGGAAACACAGTGAAGCAACAGTTGGATCCAAATCTGTCCTAGGTAAAACACTAACAGACGATAACTACCAACTCCTAGCCGCCATCTCCCGAAAAGAGCCTTTGACTAACAGGAAGTGACGTTTCAGGAGTTTTTTATATTTGCTTCCTGTGATGTTTCCAATCCATGTACATATAATATCTTTGCCCTAATATGACGGGACAACGTTGTTCCGTGCAGTGGGGAAAAAAGTGGGTGTGGTCAAAATCGCTGCGCACTTCGGCGACATTTCATTTTCTTCCTTGCTCACCAGTTTCCACAATCCTGGAACCGCCTATGATGTGAGCTTTTTCAAATATTATAATAAATTTAGAGAATGATGCTTTATTGTGTTTTCTGTTTATATGTATAGCTACATTCATTGGACTCCTAAATCATATAACTCCAGTAAAGAACCACTTAGTTGTAACTTTAATGAAATGCTTTTGCTTAAACTTTTAAAGGAAAGTTAAAATTCTATACAATATACATGTATAATTATATGTAATATTTGTGCATTCACTTAATAAGTCCGTTGAAAAGTCAATTTAAAAGCCAGTTTATGTTCTCGGCAGATTTCTTTTTTTACTAACACCATTTTTCCAGTAATCCTGGTTAACTTCATAATATTTTCTTTTCTTTCTCTTCTTTTCACTTAGCTCCTCAATGCATCTATTTATTAAAATGATATTCTGTGGTGCGTCCTTATGATTGCTAGAGAAATAGTGTTGCCTGCTCTCATCATTTTTTTTCTCAACACTTAATATTGTGAATGATGTTATGGGTATATACAGTATTATTTACATTGGGCTGAAAATCTTTTTATGCCCTTATGTAGTTTCATTAGAGATGGCACGTGATACCACATATTGTGCATGTAGGGTGTGATGTTATTTCTGCTATGTCCAACATATGGTATTTCAAGAAAGTCTCTTATCCATTGCAATGCCTAAAATTGTTCTTGATATTAATGAAACGGTTATGTCATTTACTTTAACCTGAAGTGTTTCTATATCACTGTTAGAGGGAGATTTCTTACCAAGTAAATTAGAAAGAAGTCCTTGAAAATCCATGTAAGTCAAATTTATACTTTTTTTTAAAACGGACTTTCTAAAGGTCTGTTATTTTCATTTCCAACTGTTGAAGGTCATTATAATATTTTTACAATTTCATAAATATTTTTACAATATTTATACTATTTTTACCACCTCTTAAGTAAATTTTTACAATCCAAACCACGTGGTAAAGTCCAATTAAATTCATCTTTATTAATTTGTGATGGCCAATATCTCTCTTATCTATTGTAAGTGCAGCATAAATCAAGTTATTGATGAATACATCAAATGTTCTTAGCATAAGGTGCTGTTCAACAACGACCACCTTAAAAAGTTTTAGTAAAGCAAGTATTTTCATAATTGTTTGAAATTAATTGCTGTAGTTCATTTTCATACAAAGGTTTGTGAAGTACTCCATAGCTTTTAGTTTCTGAGCACTTGATGATTGAAGCCGGAGATCTTGCTCTTGTCATCAGATATTCTTCAGGTGGTATTGTAGTATGATATCTAATTATAATATAATTTGTCAGAATTGTAATTGCTACAAATCTTTCATCTTTTTTACAGTACAATAAAGGAATGAGTAGTTTGTATTTGCTGCAATAACCCCATGACAATCAGCAAATTCTCTAAAGTACATGCACGGTTATAGCATTATCATTATTGCGTAATCAACCTTATAGTCTTCCGCAACAACAAACTTTAAGTCACAGTCATGGTCATCAATTCTAACCATTTTTGCTTCATCACACTGTTGACATTATCTGGTGCTAAGCAATTCTTAAATAAGTCATTTGTGACCCGATACGTAAAAACCAGGTGATTTGAGAAAATTTTCAATTAGAGATATGGCTTCTTGAAGTATTGACAGTGGTGCCTTATGAAAACTGACATTATATCAAAAATGTAATCTACAAAGTATTTCTTTTCATTTGATACCAAGTTTGCTAATAAATAATTAAAAACAGATTCTTTTTGTTGTGCACAATGGAAATAATGCAAGATACAATGGTAAAAATTGCTGTTAGCCAATTGCATCTGTCAAGACTTTTTTTTGCATAAATAAACATAACTCACCACTACGTGTGCCAAATGACATGAAACAAAGACCAAAAGGAAGCAAAAACTGTACTTAATTAAGAAAACAATAAATCTAAATTTTCAATTTTTGAGCATATAGCCTGCTTTTCTCATATTGGGTCATATTTTTTCTTCCCTTTGTATGACAGCAAGTACATGAGTACCTATATAACATTCATTAATGAAAAATATTTAGCTTGGCATACCTGTAGATGACAATGAGTCAGGGTCTAGGGTTGGAAATGAGAACGCCAATATAATGAAGTCGAATGATAAAATGGTGCACCATTACCAGAAATCGTAACTTCAATTGGTGACTGTAGCATATAACCTGATCAACATAGATGACTTAAAGTACTTTTTAAACACTCTGGAAAACAAACATATCAACCAAAGTATGGCTTTTGCCAGTGTTATATTTCGGTACCAGATCAAATGAATTGTCTTAATTTTTTGATTCTATGTGAACCTGGAAGCAATGTGTTTATCTTTGATAACTCATGGTAAACATTGTGAGAAACTTTGTAAGTATCAAGGCAACACAGAATTTTGGCGATACATTGGGACGATTGTGGTAAATCAACACTTACTGGTGTTACTGTAGTTTAAAGTGATCATTTTGGGTTAAGATTGTCTAGTTTCAAACGAAACTGACTTTAAGTCTACCTCATATGACTCAGTAAAGACTAATGCCTCTTTGGTAGTCTGCTTGAGGGACAAAATTTTCTGTCTTCTTTGCGTTTCCTGTACTTTCATTAGATCTTTCCCTCTATTAAAATCTGGGTGCATATCTTCCAACTTCTTCATTTCATCCTCTCGCTTGCCTAGGTCTGTCCTGGGAAGACACAACTAAATCATTTCTTCAGAGAATTTAGATTCTTTACTTCATTATTACGTAAATAAAGTGCATATTTGCCATTTTTCTGTCAAGGAATTCCAGTGCAGAAAGCCACACCCATGGAACCACACCTCTAGGATTAATAATGATCACTTCTTACTTTGCTGCAGCAGTTCCTGAACAGCAATCTGAGTTAATTTTTGAGCTTAATTTTAACTTTTGAGCTCACTGTTCATGCAGCTATGATTATTATTGATAATAATTGAATTTTCATTACTGGGAGCGGTCAATTTTGCAAGGGTGTGACTGTAAAAATGGCTGATCCGGGACAGAGAGCAATCCGAGAGGTCTGGGTCACTTCTAGAACAACAGTAAATCTGGGACTGTCCCGGACATTCTGGGACGGTTGTCAACTATGCAAGCATTGATACCCTGTCCAAAGAACTCTGTTACCCACTTCTAGTTGCTCTGCTTAGCTTCATAGTCATTTTTGCACCTTTATTTAGCAGCCTTTTCTCCAAAGCATCTTATGGAACCATAGCGTCAAGGCTGGCGTTTAGCTGAGTGATGATACTGGGCTAAGTGCCAGTTGTGAAGTAGTCTATTGGGAACTTTAAGCAATAGAGTACATCATTAAAATTGCTATAACGTTAATTGGCATTCTGCTCTTGATTGTCACTCTTAACAACATCACAACTGCAAGCACTTGCAGCAAAGCAGTACAGTATATTGTCAGAATATTATTGGGTTAAAGTACAGCATTATATTAATGGGAACATACTAATATATGTGTTAACCTTCAATTTGGAACTGATAATTCAATTTTCCAACCGAAGTGGTTTATAATTTGTGACCATAATTGACAAAAGGTACCT